TGGATTCAAATGCCCCACTCCCTTTCAAAAGATTCGCTCGCTTTCTCAAATGCCCTAGTCCCTTTCGAGCGGTTTGATCGTTTGCTCGAAAGGCTCTAATCACTTTCGAGCACCTTGCTCCTGATTTGGAGCGGTTTGCCTTTCGAGCGGTTTGCTCGTTTTTTCTCAAACGATCTAGCCCCTTTCGAGCGGATTGCTGCTTCTGTATTAGACGCTCCGGTCCCTTTCGAGCGGGCTGCTTCTTTTTCTCTAACGCCCCAGACTCTAGTCCCTTTTCAGCGGCTTCTCAAACGCTCCCTTCGGAACGGCTTGCTGCTTTCTCTCAACAGCGTTGTACTGCTTTCTCTCCAGTGCTTTATTCTGATTCCCTTTAGGCCGAGGACGGCTCTTCAAGTCTTCCCGCGGCTTTTTGAGTCTGTAGGTGATCTCATGCAGATTGCCACCAAGTTGCCAGCCATGGTCCTGCAGCCTGCAACGGCCATTAACACGGAATCTCGCACCAATGCTCTCCACGAAGCCTTCCGAAACACTCCCGGCGTTGCCGCAACGCAAAAGCAGCGCCTGCCTGGGCAGAGCGCCGCACGGCGCCCGAGATCACGTGCGGCCAGCGGGGCTCCAGACGCGAGATGGAAAACGTTGCTGTGGGGCTATTGTGCTGCTGCGTCTGCAGGACGGACAGTGGTATCTGGGCTTCTGGCAGCCTAAAGATGTAACCCACAAGCACTGTCTTGCGACAGCTAATTAGGCATGCCCCAGAAGTCCACGTGAAGGCTACATGTGAATGCGGCTTAATCATTCGAGCCTTAGTTCTGGAGAGTCTTGCAGCGGCTTACAGCTTCCATGACACCACGACACCTCGCTTCAGAGACCCAGGACGTGGTGCAGGCGACATACCGAAAGCAGAAGCGTGTCTGTGCAATCTTCATGCCCGTTTGGAGCGCATCCTTTGATCGGGCTAAGGTTCATTAGCGGATTAGCGCCACAGACTTCTTTGGCCCATGGCGGTGTCACGACACGGGGAGGCACGCTTTGGCCTCCCATTTCTGGCGAGGGCTCCAGGGCCCCGGGCAGCGGCCCTCACTTCGTCGGCAGCGGCCTGAGACTCGTGGCATGGCTGGCCACGGTTTAGGGTTTAGGGTTTAGGGTTTAGGGTTTAGGGTTTAGGGTTGAGTATATCTGACATCTTAGGCACACATGGCACATCTCTCGTCCGCGTGAAGGACTCAACGCGCCTTCCCTTTCGCACCCGTCGCATGCCAGCCCCTCACGGCACAAGGGTTGGGGCTGTTTCTGCCCCCCCTGATGTTGCCTGGGACCGGCCATAGCCGACAAGCGTCTCCAAGATAAAACCGAAAATCTGCGCCAAAGCCAGGATGAATGTGTGAAGGGATAGCACTCAAGCTGCCTCCTTCGGCGGCAGCAGCGCTATCCCAACACTTGCATGTGCACCGACTCAACAGCCCTCTAGCATGACAAACTTCAGAACCACACCTGCATCCCGTAATGAGCGGTAGTCCCATCGCTGCTGAACGGGCAGCTACGGAACGCTCAGCTAGAAGCAGCTTCCAGCTTGTCCTCCAAAGGAACTTGCGAGGCTACATCCCCTGCTACCTCTTCCCAAGAAATGAAAACATGCTTAGTCGAAGCTCCAGTTGGAGAGATCAGTGGAGGTGCTTGAGGCAAGCTCCGGGTGGGTTGGAGATAGTCTAATCTAGCAAGCCTCTTCAAGGTATGTGATTGTCGATGGGCAGCTGAGCATGTGTGGTTTGGTGCCCGATGGATGTGGTTGCGGGCTTGAACGTGCAGGGGCTTCGTTTCACTCTTTGGTGCTTGCTTTTCCGATGGCCAAGACTTGCGCACAAGAAGCACAAGGTCGCAAATGGCTAGAGCAGGCAGTCGAGATCTCGTTGTCTGGGAGCTCTGTATGCAAGCCGAGACAGCAACAATCACATTGACGCGGGCTGCTCCTGCTCTTTGCAGCAACTTAGTATCTAGTCTCCTAGTCACTGTGCCTCGGGGCGTCCAGGAGAATATCTAGAAGAGCCCCAACGACCAGCTGGTACGGACGAGGCTTTCAATCTGTGAAAGAAACATTATTCTCATGGCTGTCCGGGTCTTGAACCCCGCCATCCTGCGTCTTGGTCTCGAAGTCACTGCGCGCATGTCGCTCGTGCAGCTGCTCGGACTTTTCCTGAAGTTGGTGCTTTGGGAGGTTTGGCACATGAGCGGTCTGCCGCAGAACGGGTGAAGTTACTGTGGAACTTGTGAGCTGCTGGGGTTGTGGAAAGGCCGAGTAGTTGCTGCAAAAGGTTTGACAAAACAAGACGTCCCCTGAAACTCGACTTCGTCGGCCCTTTAAAGTCAACTGTTACAGCTCCAACTTGCGTGAAGCTTGAGCTGGCAACGCTGGGCTCGATGTTCAACACTGCGTCTCGTTCAACCAGGCAGCCAAGTGGCAGAACCCGAATCGGCCAGAAATTTCCTACAACCGAAGGAGCTCCAATTCCCAACTCGGGGACAAGTCGCTCCGAACGGGCGATTCACCATGTTCCCACGCTTCCTCGGCTCATCGTTTTTGAGGTCAAACTAGCCGCACACCCCGAGGCCCTGGCGGGCCTGGGGGTCGTCGTACTACGGCTTTGGCGGAGCAGATCCTACCGTGCCGGGTACCAGCCTTCTCCGTCTTGTATGGTGACAGCGCAACTCGAAGCCGAGAAGCAAGTGCAAACTTGTGAACGGATGCCCTAAGGTCGCCTGTACAAAGTAGATGTCCCGAGCTGCCCTGTTCCAAGAGTTGTTGTTGCAATTCGGCAAGGCATCTATCTCATGCTGTCTGGGCCTTCCAAACGAACTGGGGGTTTCCGAAAATAGGGGGGACCCTAATATAGCACCCTAAATCGTAGGATCCTTATTATAAGGACCCCAACATAAGATACCCCCTATTTTCTGAAACTCCCAACTGCTTTTAATGCCCGCAAGGGCCCTTGATTCAGCTCAGTCGCACGGCAGGTCGCTCCGCAACGCGCTTGGCCCACTCCATGAGGTTCTTGTACTCCTCTATAGGTTTAGGGTTTAGGGTTTAGGGTTTAGGGTTTAGGGTATAAGATATGGGTAGTGTTCTAAATTAGGGCCAGGGTCCCTTTTGGGGTCCTTTTTATAAGGGTGCCGTACTATCTTTAGAGAACTACCCATATGCCATATGTTTGTAACGAATCATTTCAATGGCGTACTGCTCTTCATCTGACAGCGGGATTCAGCCGTCAAGGTACGCATCACAACAGAAGAGTCTCCTGCACTTGCAAGAAGTCTGCAGCTGCACCGTAGATCTTTCCGAGCATCAACCAGCCCACCCTTGGTTGAGCTGCTAGCTGCTCAAGGAATTCGGGTTCGACACAGCACTCAGAAACCTTGAACCCAGAACCGAGTGTTGGCGGGTGGCGACGAAGGTAGCGACCATCCCTAGTGCTGCTGATGTAGAGAGGTGCGAAGCCACGAAAGTTCAGTTTTGATCTATCTCACAAAAACGGTCCCAAAAAGGAGTCTATCTAGCTGTGTAGCTTGCAAAATGCACTGATCACTCCCTGCAGCCACATACACAGTCTGCCGGGTTCAACCGAAGAGCCACGGCCAAACTGCCATGTCAGCAATGGTGTACCTGGCCATGGTAAGCGTTCAGTGGTTCGGACAGCTGTGGAAGAGTCTTAACTCAGGCTTTCATGTTCGATGCTGTTCTGTTCTGTTCCAGATCAAAAAGACACGACACGACACTGGGCTAGAACTTGGGGCTTTACGGTGCCGATACACCCGTCTGGCAAGATCTGCCCTTGCACTGTGCCTGCACTTCCTTTGCAATGCAGTCTCGTGCCGGCATAGATTGTCATCAACCGCACCGTGCAGTTTCGCAGTGGCACGTGACCCCGTTCTTAACGATGATGGTATGAGTGTGTCGTGTGTCAACGAAGCGATAACTTCCTTGGACTTGTCGAAAACAGCCTAGGTCCATCCGCTGGACTCTAAAACTGGCTGTCCTTGCTCACTGAGGCCTCTAGGAATCCTCCAGACGATTTGGTTCTAACCGCTCCTGCTCCCCGACTAGACCGGGCTCTCCAAACAAGCCAAAGCTGGAGTTTCCTCGCTCGGGGCGGCTTCCAAACAAAATGCACAGGACTTCAGTATTTTATCAGCCCACAGTATGCGGACGAGGAGCTGATCTCCGCAAATGAACCTCAAAGGACATGGGTAGTTGTCAAAATTAGGGTCCCTTTTGGGGTACCCTAAATAATAGGTGCCGTATTGTAATAGGGACCCAAAAAGGGACCATAATTTTGACAACCACCCACATGTGAGCATGTTAAGGAAACGGTGAAGGGTCCCCTTCACCCGTGCCGGATTAATAGTCGCAGTTCATGCACGCTGGCCGTGCCTGGCAGAGAGTCCATCCCTCTGCGACTTCCCTTCCAAGCCTGCTTACGGCTCTAAGAGGATCGGAAGCTGCTTGCCCCACAGCCTCAAGGCATGAAGCCTTCAAACACAAGCCAAAGCAACGACACAGGAATATGGTCTCGCAAGCCTAAAGAAGGAATTCCGAAACCGAAAGACTACAGAACAGATTCTGGCACACTAACGAAAGTTTTGGTCCTGAAAGGAAAGGTCAGCGCAGGGCTTCGGGGGCCGTAACCTGTTGCTTCGAGGGCTTGCCACGACAACCCAAGAAGGCGAGGAAGAAGGAGAAGAAGCTTCCCCGGAACACTCTGCTGAACAGTGCCACAGGTTGCCTTCATTGTTGGATGTATCCACCTTCAACTTAAAGTCCGCCATGCTTACAAGATCCCACAGGGAGTTCTACTAGAGTCACTAGAGCCTGCAAGTGCTGCAAAGCCGTCAAAACTCACAAAACGTCATAAGGACATCCAGGCATCCACAACCCTGCGCGTCCGCAGTGATCTCTTCCACGAGTTTAGATGCCCAAAGCACCCCAAACCCTGTAGCTTAGGTCCTCTTTAGAGGCACAGGGCTTCCTGCCGTCTGAGCCGCTTCTTGTTGCCATCCCCCAGGTGCTTGTCGAGGACATCAAGAAGCCTCTTGGTCTCCATGCTGTAGCGGTCGATGGCGTACTGAATCCTCCAAGTTCGCTTGCCAGTTGGAGTTCATGAGGGCCTACGGCGGGTTGGAATGCTGAGGACTGCAAAAAGGATTGACGTCCAAGATCATCCGAGACCTCGTCATTCGACTTGCGACTTGTAGCTAGCACGTTTCGTCTCCGTGAAGCAGAATTCCACCATCCACGCTCGCAGAACTGTGCCATAGCATCGTTTGACAGTCTTGCAGAACAGAACCTTCCTCCGAATCGCGTGCAGATGCTCCGGATGACCGATAAGGCCACAAAAAAGACTCTGCAAGAGAGCGGAATAGGTGGGATTCTGCGCCCTTGGGTCCTTTGAGTCCTTTTCCCAAACAAAGCCAAGGAGCTTCACAGGAGCGTAGTTGTAGAAGTGCCCAAAGCCTTCCAGCGTATAGCTCGACAGGATCAAGAACGTATACATGGCCATAATGTGCGGCAAGAACGGCAAACGTGAGGTGCTTCAACACATCTGCCACTCACCAAAAACAGCAGCAGCAGTAACAGCAACACCACCACCACACCACCACCACCACCGGTACACCCTGAGGGCCGTTTCTCAAAAGGCCGAGCTAGAGATGCCCCCGGGTGCCCTTGCCTCCTCCGATGAACGGTGCGGAGCCCATCTGCCTGAGCTCAGGCCCTTGGCCAAGGGCTGGGATACTAAGCCAGCAGCTAGCAGCTAGTCGCAGCTAGCGTGTAGACAGGCCGCCACATAAGCCAATTCTGCACCTCGGCCCTGGCGGGATACTCCTCGCAAAAATGCTTCGGCAGTTCGGAGGAGTGCAAAAAAAGTCAAAAGAAAAGGACTCGAGAACCCTTGCTTCCATCAACCACCATCGTTCTACCCGACTGTCGGAAACACGATGGCTCCTTCGGCAAGAAGACACCATCCTTGTCAAACTTGTCGCAGAGATACCTTGGCTGACAGAGGCATCGTGAGGCTGCGTCGACGCATTACACCCCAGGCTTCCAACGCTGATGTTGCAGCACCCAGCTACACTGCACCCCGGCCTGCGCCTCAAGCACTCAAGCTGAGGAGGAAAAGCCAGCATCATTTTCCTTTGTGCAAGTCTACACCTCACTACACCTCTAATACTAGGTGAAACCGAACTCCGACCGGGTGCATGAGGATGGAGCCAGACTCAAACACCCGGACCGGCTTGTCCGTTGAGTGGTCCACCATCGCGGGGATCCTGCTGCAGAGAAGCCATCGTCGGTGGCTTGGGGTCGGAATTGTGGTGTAGAAACTGCAAGGGGCTAGGGAGCAGCACAAATGCCACTGCAAAAGCTCTGGCGAGGGAGCCCTGATTCGCTCTGACCTCTGACTGCTGCCTTGATAAGGCGGGCGGGTAGTCGTCCCAACTTTTGGACTCATGTAAGTGGCCGAACTTCACTCGCCAAGTGGCTTGGAGTTTGGGTTGATTGCATGGAAGCCAGATGTGAACTGCACGCCGTTGATGGGAATCAGCCATGCCTCCGAGCTGAAAGGGCCACTATGCTCCGGCTCCGAAAAACCCCGTGCGGCGTTCTCTGTTCTGGGGTTTGTCAGGGCCGTGGTGCATCGTACTCGAAATCCGGGAAGAGTTCAACCAACTCCTCCAGCAGGATGGTGACTTTCACTCCATTCCTGGGCTCTGTGCTCTGCTTCCGTGCCTTTCAGGGTGTGTACTTATCCAACATGCAACTTCCTTAAACATGCCCAAGACTCGATTGAAACAGCTCTTTTTTGCTTCCTTTTGCAAAGTCCGTCTTTGTGGCAGTGACTAGACCCTTGTCTCGTTGGAGTACACGTCCAGGCTGTACATGAGGATTCACTCACACTCGGTGGTGTCCCCGGGGTCCGCGTGCCCACTGGGGTGAACAGACTCTTCGTTGCCAAAGACGCTCGTGGTGAATGCTTTCTCGTGGACGTCTCTCAGGAAGGCTTCTTTCTTTCGTCATGCTCGCCGGCTCTTCCAGCAGAGCTTGACGTAGAGGAAGAGCGTACTCATGATAAATTTCCGTCGGTTTAGTATGCTCTGACTGAAAGGTCAACGTAGGTCGGTAGCGATGCATGAGCACATGAGCGCGATGCTCCATGCCCTTGCTGTGCCATTCTCCTGCACACATGTACAGGGCTATGACACCGGTCAAGGACAGGCGAGGTTCCACGGTCAAGAATTCCCCCTGGTAACGATGAAAATGTCGAAGGAACCACTTTGACCGGGACTTGCCGAGTTTGAAGTAAACCGCGCCGTTGCAGTCCACGAGCTTGAGTACATGCACAAAGAACCATGTGTTCCAGTTCATGGCGCTGGCTTCCGCATCCAACTGTAACATGGCGAGTGTGCACATACCGTGGGGTGTAAGAGGTGTGTGCAGCATTAGTCGATGCTCTAGCTTCTTCAACTTGTCGGCCAAAGTCGACCTTGACCCGCACTTGCTCCCTGGCATCCGGAGCGGTGTGCTAAACTTGCTGTTCGGGGTCCGTAGCAGCGCCGGCTTAAATTTGGCCTGGCACAGGGGAATAGCAGCTTCACCCAGTCAGCCCTCCCCTTCCTAAACCCCAAAACTCGAAAGCGGAGAGGCCCGGCCTCTCCACAGTTTGGCCGACAAGTTGAAGAAGGTAGAGCATCGACTGACCGTGCTGCACACACTTCTTACACCCCACGGTATGTGCACACTCTCCATGTTACAGTTGGATGCGGAAGCCAGTGCCACGAACTGGAGCACATTGTTGTCTGTGCATGTACTCAAGCTCCTGGACTGCAACAGCGTGGCTTACTTCAAACTCGGCAAGCCATAAGATCCAGGAACACGTTGTGATGATCTGAAAACTCTCATCTTCCGCACACACCGAGATCTGACGGAGAGGCTTCTGGCTCGCCAATCGAGATCGCTTGGCAGGAGCTGGGTTCCCCTGAGCAGGAATTTGGTTCTCCTTGCCCTCCTTTGAAGAATGTCTCTTCTTCTTTAATAGCTGTATGTCGTTCTCGACCTCCTTCTTCTTCATGTGCAGCTCCTCTATCTCCTTTTTCAAATCCGAAATGGTGCCAAGCTGCTGCTTAATGATCTCGGAGTTGTTGGATGGCGGTGTTCTGTTTACTCTCCGATCGTGCCTTCTGATACTGCTGAAGCGTCTCCAGCAAGCTCTGTGCTCCCTTTGCATCGGTCTGGCCCTTAGTCGCTGCTTGAATCGCCAGTGTAGCCAACTCATTCACCACCTGGCTCTCCCCTAGGACTTCCCGCAATCCTTGAGAGCTGCCACAGTTGCTCATGTTTGGAAATCTCGCGAGAAATCGAAGCAGGACGACATACTTGAAACAAGATGGGCTTTGGGCTTTGGCTATCTGCGATACTCCCTGAACCATGAGGTCGACTTCGTCCGATAGTCCTGAGTTTCACCACCCCACATCCCGAACCTCGAAGCCAGCACCCAACGAACACCAAAACGCTGTCCAGGCTCGGCGTTCCCATGGAGTAGAGCTGGATCTTGTGCTCCCCCTTGGGGAGAGGCTTGTCCTGGCAGAGACGGGCAAACCAGCAAACCCGAAGCTTCATGACATCCCTCAGTCGGAGCTCACCCAGCCCAGCAATCCTAAACCCAAAACCCCCAAAACCCCAAAACCCCTAAACCCCTAAACCGCTAAACCCCCAAAACCC